TATATATATATATATATATATACACACACACACACACAAATCTACACTTCCCCAAGATTCCCCAAGATTGGTTGAGTCTGAAAGATCTTAAGAACTTTAATTTATTTTGAAATAAATTATGAAATAATTTATTTTAAAGAATAATTATTTCATAATATGAATGATTGCTCAATTTTAAACATAAGATTGGATTAAGTTTCAATACAATTATGCACAAAGAAGACATATGGCAAAATATACTTTTATGAAATATTTCATTTCAGTTAATTAATGTTCACAAGTTCAACAACAGATCTCATTGGCTGTGAGTAGGACATTACTTTGAAATTTGAATGCCACAAGAAGTCATAACTCAGCTATATTTTAATAAAATTTTGTTGTTTGCAAAGTGTCAATTTCATGCATGGAATGGAATATATTAGTCAAAAATCGTATTGGTTACCTTGAGATAATCCTCAACCAATGAGGGCTTCACATGTTTCACTCACAATCTTAACCAACAAAAAAAAGAAAAACAAATAAAAAACTTTATTACATTTCAAAAAAAGTGACGTGCCTCGTGTGGCAAGTAACTGAGATTGCTGTGGTTTGTAGTTATAAAGTGAGTCCAAAAGGTGGCAGTGTTACAACCTTTGGATTCAGATTCACCGAGAAAGAAAACAAAGACGAAGTAAAGGATCCGCCTTTTCCGTTCACGTGACTGGTTGTGTCGTTTGTGGCCGCGCTTCTTGTTCATTTGGCGGGTCTGTCTAGATCAGACTGCTGTCCTTTAGCTCAGCGAATTCACACTCATTTAGCATATTATATTAAAAATGTCTCACAGGTACAGAGCCACGCGCAGCGACGCTCACGATAGTGACTTTAAACACAGGTATGTTTGAATGCAGTTAGCTACTTGAGTTAGCTTTGTTATCAGTATGTTAGAAATCTTACTGTGTTGTTACTATTATGGTTCATTTTAGCTCGGTAAAATGCCTCCATCAGTTTCAGAAAGTAAATGGCAGAACGTAGCGTATCTGCTATTTTGTTGCTCCGTTAACTTTTTATGTTCGCTTTGTCTTATGTGAATGAAAACGATTTTTTTCTGTGAAAACAATTGGCGAAAACAGATCTGGTTGAAAGGATACGTGTCTAACATTGGCATCAAAGATCAGTCGAATGAAAGCTGTGGATCCCCGCCACTCAACTAAATGGATCTATGGAGGATTCGAAGAAAGAAGTAAATGGCGGGAGAAGTTTTAAAACCCGTTCATCAGCTTCTGCTAATTATCAGTCAACTCATCGGCTGTTGTAAATTAATGTCCCGCCCTGCTCTGTTGACCTTCACTAAGACTTTTTCAGCAATATCAGCATGTTGTGTATTTTCTTGAATGGAGCCTTTTGCTATGTGTTGCTCATTTGTTCTGCAGGAAAAGCTCTGGCCTGCTGTGCTGTCAGTGTTGCCACAGAGTGTATCCACACAGAGGCTTTCTTTTACTGTGCTAGGACTGAGATGTTTAACTACAGGGCCAAACTAAGATAGATCCTCGATGTTTTGTTGGGATACAGGAGTAGTGGCCCGTCTCGGTGGTCCCACTGCCGGAAGAGAGGAATAGATGGAAATCTGAGGAGCCACAGTGACGAGGACGGTGATGATGGGCACTCTGACAGCAGGAATTCCAGGTAAGTTTGTTTGAAACAGAGGCATGCCTACTTATTGAACTGTTTTCTTGAATCAGAAACTGCATATCTGGAATGTCATCGTTAAAATACTTATTGAAGAAAGCCTAAATAATTGTTGGCAGTTTCAGCTACTCAAAGAGATGTAATGCTTACTGCCAGCTGCAGTCAGACAGGGCTTCAGCTAGCTGCTGCGCCTGCTGCTTCTGTTATTGAATTGAGTTTGGTTTTAAGGAGGCCTGAGCTCTTCTTTGCCCCCCAGTTTCACCACCCCAGAGAGCGCAGCGCCCGTGTCTCGATGTGGTCGGCAGTCTGACTGGGGGAGCCAGGTGGAGGACGAAGAGATGAGGCGAGATGTTCACAGAGATATGCAACGGTAAAAGAATGTTTTTCATTTTAATTTCAGTAGTCTTCTTGAATGCTGTCATTATTACTTGTTTGTTGATGTTATGTGCCCCCTGTTCAGATACAGGAGGAGGATACTAGGTTCAGAGGTCAATCAGAGGGAGAGAAAAACTTCATCTGGCTCCTCTGGCAGGTAAACATGGCATCATCAAGAATATCTACTCGATGACTCAAACGTTACACAAAAGTTTAAAGCATGAAGCATTACAGATGCAGTGACATACATAATTAGGAATGTGAAAGTCTCACGTTGGTTCGGAAGGAAGAGCTTAATTAGCTGGTAAAAGTCACTAATAGGTGAATGAGTCGACTTTAAATCCAGCAGAACAGTCTGATTGTATTTGGGATGCTAATGTTGTGGCCAGTGTTCTATCGGTGCTACCTCGTCAGATTTTCCTACCATAGGATGGCTAGATAGTTATGTCTTTGTGTTGGTGCTATGCGTCTAAAACTGCTACCATCATGTTCACAAACCAAAAACTAGCAGGTTGTATTAATGTTAAATATTATCACCAGATAACATTCTTTGAGTGACAGTACTGAAATGGAAGCTTAGGAGTTATGCTTAGCTTAGCATTGGAACAATTTATATACATGACGAAACCATAAGAATATAATTTCTTTCATTAAAATATCCTACCTGTAAATGGCAAACTAAAGCCATTTACAAATATAGTTGCAAGCTGCCTGTCATGTAATCTTAAAACATAAAGTAATACAACAGCTTAAGGAAACCCAGGTATAAAATAAATCAAATAAAGCTTACCTTAATCTTTGATCAAATAAAACGGACGAAACAAAACTTCCACAGGTAGGATGTATTTCTAAAGAAATCTGATGAGTAAGCAGAAAGTGACGTAGCATCGATGTGCGCATGCGCATTACCACAAGGTAAGACGGATTGGTAGGTGGCACAGCCTGGCTGGCTGTTGTCAGCTGACGGGGCGTGTGATCTGCTGTGGCTCAGCAGGGATCAGGCATCATTGAGCTCCTCTACTCTCTGCAGAAACTGCTGCTGTCTAAAATGAGAGCAGCAGCAAGGCCACATCCAGACAGAACGGTCATTCAGTTTACACATGTGGTCTGGACACTGCTTAAGATTCTCTAGTGGAGAAGCAGCTTTTGGCCCATCAGCCACTCGTGGGTCAGCATACTTACTGGCTATCCTCAAGAAAACTACTCTCTTCAGTGAAAATCTGTTCCATAATACTGCAACACTAAACCTTTCACTGACTGGATGAGACCCTGTTGACCCGTGAAAACCGACTGTTCAGCTCCATATCTCAAGTTATTTCGCAGATGTTTCATTAGCACTGCACCAAGCAAATATCATCATCATCTGCTCGTCCTATGACAGGTTGGGATTCTTCCTTAAGCCAATCACCCTTCAGATCATGGCTGCCATGTTCACACCTCCTCTGAACTTGCTCCAAGTTCTTGTTAGAATCTTTTTGATTGGAACTTGCTCTTAAGGACAGAAATTGGTTTTGTAAAAAGAGCTATTGTCACTTCATCTTTGGATTGTGGAATCAGTTGTTCTGTCAGTCCTTTAACTTTTTAGTTAAAGGACAATAATATATCTGTGTACTGCAGCTGTGACTCCAGAGAGGGTGAAAACATGGAGACTGACGAAGCTGTGTTGATGCGAAGACAAAAGCAGATCAGCTACGGCAAGAACACCCTGGCCTATGACCGTTACATCAAGGAGGTGCCAAAGTAAGATGGTGCATGTTACAGTGTCAGCATCTTAAAGCAACATTGAACATAGATAGCAGGTCTTGAGTGTTTAAATGCTAGACGTACAAATATGAATCCTTTCTGTTTTCAGGCACATGCGGCAGCCGGGTGTTCACCCAAAGACTCCCAACAAGTTCAGGAAGTACAGTCGACGTTCCTGGGATCAGCAGATCAAACTATGGAGAGTTAAGCTGCATGCCTGGGACCCCCCTGCAGGCTGCAGCCAGGAACACGCCCTCAGTGACAATATGTAAGAAAACACTGACTCCCTCAGGTTTCCAGTAACTGCTTCATCATTACTCTGGCAGGCTGGGTCATGAAGCTGAAAGGGAAGGAAAACAAAATGAGCAGAGCAATAAACACTGATATTTACAGCAGTGTTTCCCATCCTGGTTCTCAAGACATACCACCCTGCATGTTTTAGATGTTTCCCTGCTTTTACACACCCTGTCAGGTGATTGCAGATCAACAAAAGCTTGTAAATCAGCCATCAATTGAAATCAGATGTGTTGAAACCAGGTAAATGCCTAAAATATTCAGGGGAGAGTCCCTTGAAGACCAGGGTTAAAAACCAATGGTCTAGAAAGTCCCACAATCTCCAGAATTCCTACGGAGCCTGGAAAATAGTTGCATTTTTAAAAAATCATTTTGCACATTTGAATAATCTGGAGAACAGTGTCTAGACTTTATTTTTATTTGGTGAAAGCAGAATTTCACAGGATATGTATAGTAAGGCTAAATATTTTAGTCAGTTTCATGTCCCCTCTCCCCCAATTTCTTGTTTTTTTTAGATATCAATCTTGTAAAGATTTGCAACAACACATCTTGAGGAATTGGCAAGCTCATTGATCATTTTATTTAGTGAGTTATTGACAGATGAGTCTCAGACATACACTCTTCGAGGCTATGTTCACAAAGCAGGTTTTCAAATTCTATTCTTTCTAAATCGCTCTTTTTTGTTTTTCTTGAAATGCACTTTTTTTTTTTTTTTTTTTTGCCTGGTCATTCATATTAGTTAAACCCAACTGCAATGAGACTTTTCTGTGAAGTGTTTATGTCCCCAAAGTAGTCCAAATGCGGAGAAGAACATTGACATCACACAGCAGCGCTCTGTTTAAGGCAGTAATTATGAATTTTAAAATTTATCCAGCAATGGGAGCCAATAATATAATCACAAGATCATAACATGTCAAAGCTGACAAAAACCAATAACATCCTTTAGTGGAGCATTTACCTACTGTGTGAACACAGCCCATAGACAGAGATGGGTCCAAATACTGTACCTGGTTGTTAAACAAATTTACTCGCAGCTGATTTATCAGCAAGGTATCACAAAGTATGCATTAAAGAATCATCTGTTAGTGAAAAAACATTAAATCCAGTTGTGACAATTCTGCATTTTGGATCTTTTTAAATAAAGCTAAACAGCCACCACACAAACAAAAAGTCCTTCAGAATTGTGCTGTCAGGATATGAGGAAGGAACAGAGTTAAAAACAAAATAACAGCAACTTAAAAAAAAAAAAAGTTGAAATCTGAGTGTGAAATGATTGTGTTGGCAACCCTGAGTGTCCTTCTTGTGGCACGTGGTCAACAAGTGGTAACGCCTTGATGACTTGCATGGCCATGATGAGTCACTGCTTGGTTTCTGCAGAGAGGAGCTGGACCTTGATGATATTGTGGACATTGAGTTGGACTTTCCTGCCTTGGCTGATTCCCAGAACACACCGTCTTCCCTGCTGGTCCACAGCTCTACAGCCGAGGTGAGCTCCTCTACAGACTACACCTGACTTGGTTTCCAACAGTGACTGGTTTCAGTGGGGGAGGTGGGTGTGGCAGCATGGTGAAGTCACCTCTAATGCCGTTGCCACACATTTGGTTCTAAATTCCACAAATTCTGTCAGCGCTGCATCAAATTCAGTAGGATCAGTCCTTATCCGCTCCCCAACAGGAATCTATAACAATCTCTGCTGGGTGTGGTCTAATTCCTCTACAGCGCCCCCTAGAACACTTTTAATAACCACCCACAAGTCATGCTTTAACCCAGAATCATGAAACTCAGTATACATAAGTCTCTTGGAGCCGTGGCCTAAATCCAACATGACGGCAACCATTTTGGGTCAAAGCCACCATTGTGTCTTTGAAATGGACATATCTGAGTGAACTCCTCCTACAGCTTTTGAGACACAGACTTCAGAATTCTCAGCAAAGTCTTGAAGCATAGATGATGAAAAGTTATAAAAGACTTTTTTGTATGTCAAAGCACATTGGTGTGACCAACCCTCCAAATCTGACCATTCGCCATGAAACATCAAGATTCACTAACATCCACATAAAAGGTCACAGCTGTATCAGACTTTCTGTCTCAGTACAGACCAGCCCTCATCACATTCACATCCTCAAACACTCGGTGGTTCACTTATGCACCGTTAACAAATTTCCAAACCAAACACTCAAATACTTTTTGAAAGCCAATGTAGCTGTGTGTGCCTCCCTTGAACATGTTATCAAGCCTGACCTGTTGTGCTCTGTTTTGTCTAGAATGAAGACTGTTCAGCTACTCCAGTTAAAGTCAAGAAGACAGAGGATCCTGACGTGGCCTAGGGCCTCTGATGACAACATGCGCAAGGATTTCACCTTACACTGACGTCTCTCAAAGTTAACATGGACAGTGTCTGTGACTGCTTCGCAAGTTGGGGATGCTTTTGGTTTTCTTGTTTAAAGTTTGCTTGTTCCTGGTCTGTAGGCTGAAATTTCTTACAGATTCATCTGCTCAGGGAGTCTTATTTACAGGATTTTATACCTCCTGTCTTAACCAAGTTGGACTCATTTCAATGAATCAAATATTGGGAAATTAATGTCTCTGATGCATGTTGCTGTTGGAAGATTCCATTTCAGTGAGGAAAAATAGTTTTGTCTTAAATAAGCCCTTTTGGGATGGGAGGAGGGTGGAAAATTGAAGCACCGAAATGTTTTAAGTCAATTGTTGAATTTTTTTATACAGTTATAACTGTTTTTTTATTCCTGTTTCATATTGAAGAGTTTAAAATAAAAGAGCACACTGAAAACTTTATTTTGTTATTAATGAAGTTTATATCAATAGAAAGTGTTGAGACTTGATGTTGAAATGCAAAGACTCATGGAATTACTTGGACAATTAGGTGTACATATTTTAACTTGCATATTTATGCAGTTAAATTATAAACATTAAAAGTATGTTATTTATAATCTAAGTGGAGACTTTAATGGTTGTATTCTAATAGTAATTAAACAGAGAAGTTAGTACAGCTTTAAAATGAGGTTCTGGGTCTGTTTTTGGATAAGGCACTCCGAGGTGATCCCTCTTCGCGCCACTGCGTGGCAGTAAAGCTCCTATAGGCTGAGTATTCCACCGGAAATGATCCATAAGCGCCGAGAAGAAGAGCCCTGTCAGATGCTGGTGTACGTCAGTTAGACAAAAGCCAGTAGGAAAAAGTGAGCAAAGTGGTGCTGAGTGGGTAGTTCTAGGTCGGAATTCAGTAAAAGGAAACGAGGACCATGCTGAGGGTTTGTCTGCGTGGAGTCAAGGCCACAGCTCAGGTAGGACTGAAATTACACTGCAGCTGTTAGCTGCCATGTTGGTGTTAGCTTGTCATTCAATGACCCGCAGCTTGGTTCAAGGTGCCTCAGAGAGCTCACTGCTAACCTGCAATTGTGTGGTTGTTCGGATCTTTCTGACGACAGCGGTTCCAGCACGCTAATCCTTAGTGTGAAATACATTTTCACTTTAAACGAACCTGTGGTCTGTTTACCTTCTTGGTCAGGGAACTGACTAAAGGTCCTCACACTTCAGCCAAGGCAAAGGAAAAAGCGTAAGAAAAGTTTGGAACCATTCGACGCGAGACGTTATTGGTGAAATGTCATGGCGGGATTGTGACGCAGTGAGTTGTTAGGCTCTGTGAGGAGCAGCAGACCCTTTACTGCAGTGGTCTCAAAATCTAGTCCTCAAAGGCCAGACTCCTGCAACTTTTAGATATCTCTGCTTCAGCATAGCTGGCTCTCATATGAACTTATTAGCAGAGCTTTGTAGAGCTTGACTTGAATTTAGCCTGATCGGCTTTGTCAGAAACTCCAAAAGACACAGGTGGAGGCCTCCACAATCGCCTGGATCTGACTAGCTGACAAACGGACCACGGTTTGTGAGGCTGAAGGGCCACAGGGGACTGTACTCTCACCATTCCTTTCCACTCTCTACACTTCAGACAAGAGGCTAAGTACAGAGAGCTGGTGGCATGTTGTGGGAACAATCATCTCATTTTGAATGTAAACAAAACAAAGGAGATGATTTTAGATTTCAGGAGAAACGGGGTTAGATTAATTTGTTCCAGATTTGTGATGCATAGAAGCTGATTGCTTCTTCTCCATGATTGATTCTGGACCAGAACCTTCAACAGACCAGAACCAGAACATCTGAGAGGTCTGGAAGGTTGATACAATAACAACAGATCTTTAATATATTGTGGTGTTTAGCTGTACAGCGATTTATAAACTAACAACAGTATTTTAAAGTTATATGAGCTCCAGGGAGCCAGTGGAAGGACTTTAGAACTGAGGATCAATAATAACTCTTGAACAACATGAATTACAACATTTATATTCCTTAACTGGGTTAAGGAATATGTCTGGATGTGTTGTAGTCATTCTAAAGAGAATTCAGGACAGAACATAACAGAAGGTTTTTTGGTTCTGATGTTAGAACTGAAGTGAAGATCCATGTGGCTTGTTTCTTTTTGTGTGTCCCATTACCTTCTAGAAGAGCTCTGGGAGAATCCGTCTGACTAATGTGCAGCAGTGCAGGGTATACACCACAGGAGAAAGCAGGTAATGCCGTCATATCTGAGCTGAATTTAAGGCAAATATTCCAGTCAACTTTTTATTGCTTATTGTAATTACTAAGTTGCATTCTAACATTCCTTGTGTGTGCTCCCCTCTTCCACCTCAGTGGTGCTTCCAGAGTGGTAGCAGCTGGCTTGTTGACAGTAACTGGGGGCATTGGAGGCACAATCATCTACGCCAAGTGGGACCACAAGTTTCGAGCAGCAGTGGAGAAAAATGTTCCATATTCGGAATGGCTGTTAGGTCTGGCTTTGGGACCTGCTTCTCAAGATGCAGGTCTTCCCATCAGGAAACAGGTTAGTTCAACCCCACCACAGCACCAGTTCCCTCCAGATATTGTCTCTAAGCACTTTATTGAAACAATTTAGTTCACACCAATATTACAGACGATATCAAAGCCCGTTACATCCATTCCTAACTGATCCTAGTTGTCAACCAGTGCAGTCAAGTTCTGTTCACTCATTAAACTGTTTAAAAGTTTTCTGTCAAAGGAAACCCAGCAGATTGCATGAAGTCAGTGAGTGCAGCATCTGCATGTCACTGTGTCTGATGCAAACATTTCTTTTATCTGGGTCAAATCTTTACTGTTTTAATTCCATCACTGTTTGGTTGAAGGTGTGATTTTTCTTTTTTTTTTCTTTCCTGAGGCACTGTGTGTTGCTCCCAGCCTTCAGATTGGCCAATGACACAGAGCTATCCCCTGCTATTCTCATGACTTTAGAACAGAAAACCCTGAATAGGGTGGAAGTGAATTTATAGTAAAATAGAGCATCACACACCTCTTCTTATTCTACCACTCGTGCCCAAAAACCTTCTACTATTAGATAATCATGGTAAAACTAGGTAAAACATGGTAAAATTAAGGAAATTGCCCAGCGAATTTCCTTAATTTTGGGAGATCGGTGATCAGCTCATACTTGCATGTGAATCTGATCTTATCCACCGATCTTATCTACTTCTGTCAAGGTACAAAGATTAACCACTCTCCTCTTCTGCTCTCCTGTGAGACATGCTTGACTGACAGGCCGGCCCACCAGGTCATGTCTGCACGTTTGCAGTTAACAATAGTCACCCCACAGTTACCAATTCAGCTACTTACTTGCTATATTTAGCAACATTTCAGACCAAAAAAAAAAAAAAATCTGCCAAAATCAGAATCAGTAGGTGAGGCTTTTTAATGACCTGCCATCGGTGCACCTAATAAAACCATGTCAGCCTCTGTTAGTTCTGGCGTAATGTCTAAATGAATCCTTTTACATTTAAACATGCTTTGATGTATGAAAAAGATTTCTGCCATAGCAGTCAACTCTAAATATAGACTGTTGGATTATATTGGAAAGAAAGAGAGAGCTCCCTGATCTGTCAGGTCTCATTGATGGAGATTTGACACTTTCAGTTCTAAGAGAATGGGGCAAAGCCTTACCCCTTCTATCATTCAGAATACACAGAGATTCTACAGTGAAGCAAGGCAGTGACAGTCTGATGCTGTGCGTGTGAAAGCATCTTTACTTCAGATATGCCTGAAAACCAGCAGAAGTAATTCTACCTGTAGGTGCTTGCAAGTTTCAGTTCTGGTTGTTTCGTCACGTTGGTTTGAGACACTCAACTAAAATCCTTTGGTTGTGAAGTGAGTCTGCTCTTCTGTTTGCTGTTTAGATGGAGTCCATCCAGCCTCCTTCTATGATGGAAAAACAGATGAGAACGTCCAAAGCGAAGTCCGAAAAGAAACTAAAAGAGACAACAGAACCCGCATTGTCACAGCCGACACAAAACATCCAGGGTAAAACCTCACTGCGTTGGCATGGTTTTCTCAAAACTTTTTGCTGTATTTATAAAAAGAATTGTTTCTTAACAAACCATTTCCAACAGATTTGCAAAACAACTTCTTTCTTCATAGCAATGTCTGGAGAAATTTCTTCTTCCATACTTTCACTCTGAAGTCAAACTGCATCTGCTTGATTGTTTCTTCCCAAAGGAGCAAACTAGAAGACAATAAAAGGGAACAGGGAGGAAACACCTCCAAACAATTACAAATGACCTGGAAAAAATTAAATAAATCCATATGTAACATTTTGAAATAAGCTTTCGAAACTTGTATTGTTACCAAACATCAGTTTATTATTTATTTATTTATTTAGCAAATTATGCCAAATTAGTGGTGGCTCAAATAAAAGGGAAAAGATGGTGTGGCAGCATTGTTTAAAGAGAGAAGGAAGAATCTACTAGGAGGGACATGAGGAGCCTGGACCAGACAGGAAACGCATCCCACATAAACTCATTCTAGACTCTACAGAAGAAACTCATTGAGCCACCACAACCTGGAACCCTGACTTGTCAACACGATCCTCTTTTTATTGTATGGGGGATAATTTCAACAAGAACTTCATTAAAACCCATACCAAAAATATTCAAACTCCAGAATTTGTCCTCAGCTAGCTCTCACTAAGTTGATCAACCAGCATCAGTGTTTGATTTTAATAAAGTCAGTTAGAGGATGCATACACCATTTTTTGTAATTATATGACTTTGCACATCAATATATATATATATAATATATTTATTTATTTATTTTTATTGGATCATGTCAACACGATCCAATAAAAAGAGGATCATGTTTACAAGTTGTGGTGGCTCAATGAGTTTCTTCTGTAGAGTCTAGAATGAGTTTATGTGGGATGCGTTTCCTGTCTGGTCCAGGCTCCTCATGTCCCTCCTAGTAGATTCTTCCTTCTCTCTTTAAACAATGCTGCCACACCATCTTTTACCTTTTATGTGAGCCACCACTAATTTGGCATAATGTGCTAAATAAATAATAAACTGATGTTTGGTAACGATACAAGATATATATATATATATATATATATATACACACACACACGCACAAAGGTATATGGGGACTTTCAATGTATATTTTATGATATTGGACTGTAATGTCAACTCTGATAGTGGGACTACTGATGGAAACTAGTTTAAGCTAAAGTTGGTGCAAAGCATCTTTTTATTGTTTTTTCTCACATTGTCCCTGTTCTAAATAAACTAAACTAATTTTCTCTTGCTTTTTAACTGGGACACTGAGATTTGACTCAGGTTTTCTAATTCACTTAAAAGTTTTTTTTTTTTGTTTTGTTTTGGCTCATTTCTTAATTTACCCTTCATTGTGACATTTTTGTAACATTTCTAACAAACCAGTCAAAGCATTGTATGAGTGTTTTCCTTGTTCAATGGGTTTCCAAGCAGAGGCTTCAGCAGAGGCGACTCAGATCATCTCGGCCATCAGTGAGGTCCAGTCCATTCCAGCTCCATGCGACACCGAGCCCGCAGCAGCTGCAGGTAGCATGTTTCACTCATGCTGTGCCAACATTGAGCTTCCTCATCCTTCTAACGTTTTCACAGGTTCTGATGGAACAGAACCTGTGAAGCAACTGTAAAAATAGGTTACCACAGCAACCTCCCCAAAACCTCATCCACCTACAGACTGGACTATTTGATTTATGCTAGAAAGGCCATTCTGTAACTCTGTTGTTGAAAACAACAAATACTAAAGCAGGTTTTAGGTTCAAAATGGGACTTATTGGAACAAATAGGTAAATCCCAGCATGAACACACACTTTCCAAATTGTTGTATCTGGGGGGAGAACTGTGTTTAAATATTTCATTCAAGATGGGAGAAATTAGTATATTTTTGTCAAAAAGTGGTGAAGAAAAAACAGAAGTCTGCTCCACTTATAAGAATGTTGCATTACTCAGGTGCTGGCAGGTTTTTAAATCGACCTAGCAGTTGCTAGCTGGGTGCGCTAGGTGGCACTTGTGTGCTTTAATCCCACTGAATGATGCAACATGAGCATCATTGGTTCTATGGGCAGTGTTTGCGTTGATGCTTTGTGACTTTAAGAGAAACTGATCGCTTTCCCTCGCTGCTAGTCGGCAAACATGAGGCCGCCTCACCCAACAATGTTTCACCTGTCAGTAGTGGTTCAATATTTATTGTTCAAACACTTTATAGTCCAGGAAATAAGGACAATACCTGCATATAAATGAGACTCATCAAACGTGTGTAAAAGTTCTAGATATGTTACACACACTGTCCATAATAATGCACTGAGATATTTTCTGACTGAAGTGTATATGCAGCTGTTCCTAAGATCAACCTTATTATTCATCACTTTTTACATTTACTGCCAATATTAGCTTCTGGGGTGCAGTGGTGGTGTAGGTGTAAAGCGCGACTCCTATCTTAGTCCTTGATTCGGCCATCACATGTTTGAGTCCCACTCTCACAGCCCACCTTCCTGTCTGACAATTGTCAAACACTTACGGTCCATAAATTTTTTTTAAAGCAAGCTTCTTATTCAATTACCTGCTTGATGAATCATTTATAATCTGCCTAAACTTCTGTCCAAGGACTGATGGGTGTGGAGTAACACCCATCAGTCTAGCTGAAATTTGTCTAGAAACTTTAGATTTCAGGACAAACTTCTGTGTGGACTAATAAGCCTGTTCTATATGTTGTTCCAACATGTAGCAAAAGAGGAGGAGCTCCACAGTCAGGGTGTCAGGATGGGAATATGGTTTCAGTGTATTTCTAGTGGCAAAAAATCTAATGTCTCGACATCTGAAAACAATCACAGCTTACCAGAGTTCTGTACATTACAAAAGTTCAGCAACTATGCAACAGAAAGTCAAAAATAACCAAAAGTAGCAGAAATAACACCCAGTCATCCTGCTGAACTAACTAGAGTAGAAGGTTGTTGAAGATAAATAAAATAAATGTGCAGAGACTAAAAAAGATGAAGTTTTAGTGGCTCAGAGAAAGTTCTGTCAGATCTGGATCTGAGGGTCTTTGGAGCTAAATTTTGCAGTCACATTCAGTTTGATTTAAACAATCTGTAGCATTGAGACTTCAAACACCCAGTGATCATTTGAGGAAAATCCAGCAGGACACATCCGACCACAGTGAGTTGGAGCACCTTTATCTTGGCTCAGTGCAATAAATGGTTAGACCAGTGCTTCTCAATTCCGGTCCTCACCACCCCCCTGCCCTGCATGTTTTAGGTGTTTCCCTTCTACGACACAACTGGATTGAATCTGTGGGTGATTAACAGGCTTCTGCAGTACCTGATGGTCATGCAATCATTTGAATCAGCTGTTCTGGAATAGAGGCTCATCTAAAACATGCAGAGCAGGGGGGTGGTGAGGACAGGAATTGAGAAGCTGGGTTAGACTGACAGAAGATACTTGTGATGTCTCCAGAGAACATCTCAGGTTCTCCAGTACCTGAGATGTTCTTCACCTGCTGCTGTTAGAATGCGACACCAGTCACTTCAACTGACTTCAAAAAAGATTAATGTTTTAATTAATGTTAGAAGTGAAAAAAGTAAAATGTTTTGCACTTCTTACATTTTAAACATGTTAAAATGTGTAAAATGCTTTTAAACATGTTAACAGTGCAGTCTAGAATGAAAAGGCTGAAAACCTAAGCAGAGCAGGCTACTGCTACTGGAAACTAACATGTCTAAAAGTATCCTTTGTTAAAGTGATATGTGTTGGTTTTCCTTAGAGGACTGTAAAGAATGCAGTGATCATAATATTGCCTTGGAAACAGCGGCTGTCCTTCAGGAGACAGAGTCGGCTGGAGCAGCAGAGCCTCTGAGAGAGCGGTCAGCAGAAGAAGTGGCTGCTAGGCTGGCCCAACAGAATCAGGACGAAAAAGACATTATCGCATGTGAGTTTTCAGCAACACACACACAATGTTACTCATCTCAACTTTTACATACTTATGAGTGTTCAGTGGGACTGATATGTTGCCTAGAATAACATTGTTACTCTCAGGTTGTGTTACCTCACATCTGTGGTTTAATTTTTTGATAAAGTATAAAATCAATAATTGTGGAAAACTTTCTTCATAAACTTGTTTATTTTGTCATAATATGACCTGACAAGGTTAATGGGTGAATATAATAGTTGTCTGTACTTTAGACGACCAAGTAAAACTGAAATGCCATGTGAGCTGTAAACTTCAGCATCTTGTGTGTGTGTGTTGCAGCGCTGTCGGCCCGACTGGACGACTCCCTGGCCAGTTCTGCCAAGGCAACACTGCAGGCTATTGGAGCTCAGGAGGCGGCTCTGCAGGCTATCACTCAGCACACACACAAGCTAAAGGAGGCAATGGAGACAGAGGTACGGAGTCATATTTATATACACCCTAACTAACTACTGTACTGTTGCTGCTAGTACAGTGGTTTTCAATTATTTTCTGTTACCCCCCAGGGAACTGATTCCCTGGGGGGTAACAGAAAATACATATTACATATTTACATACATATTTAGACTAACAGTAAAACTTTGCAAAACTTGTAAAAATTAGAACTTAAAAGGGTATATAGTTTTTAAACATTTCTTGTGCAAAATTTGCAACAATATTGCTTGTATTCCAGCTTGTCAGAAGATATGAAAAGTGCATTTTATGATCATAGTAAGTAGGGAGGCTTTATCTATATCCTGGCCTTTTTCTGAGAACTACCACTACTTGGTTATAACGAAGTAAGGCCAGACTTGGAGTTTTTTTACTGGTTTGTTTGAAATATGACACTGAAGCTGTGATAATACAAGAATATTATCTTGTATATAATACAAGATAATATTATGTTATTATCTTGTATAAGATAATATTATACAATATAATATTGTATTATTTACAATATTAAATAATACAATATTATTGTATTATTTAATAATACAATATTAAATAATACAATACATCACAGTGACAGTGATGGCTGTCACTGTCTTTAGCAGTGACAGCCATCCTGGCTCGGACCATGTCCAAGGGGTAAGTTAGCATGGCGGCGGTCGTACCGGCCAGAGAACCCGCCAGTAGCCGTGGGAAAGGAGGCAGCGCTTTGCCCTGGAAGCCATAGTAGCCCCCCAGGAGTTTCTTGTATTGCTCGTGTGAGCAAAACTGGATGGCAGCGTAGGGCATGACCCGCACCATGGTGGCAGAGTTCCCACTCCACAGACTGAGGAATCCATCCTTCATGTACGTGCAGTAGATCACCCTAGTAGTGTGGTACAGAGTTATGAGAACTCTGTACCACACTGTGCTAAAATGAGGAATACTGAGGGTCTTGTAAAGTTATTGTTGGTGTTGGTTTTACAAATAAGAAAATACTTAATCTTTTAACACATCAGCCGCAGGACTTTGAAATGATTATTTAAAAAACTGTTTAGTTCAAAGAACTTGCTGAGCTATTCACGTCAGGTCTTGATAACTATAGAAGCTTTTTTTCTTACTAAAGTGGCGTTTTTTTTCTTGTCTTTTAAAGACTTTATAGTTGTAACTATTCACGTAATATTACTTTATTCATCATACTTATAACACTCATGTTGCAATAAAATTTGTGAAATTTCATTGTCACAAATTTCTCTACCCCTCCTCTATTTTGGTAGATATGTTTCTAAACATCCGCGCTCGTATCGTCAGCTCCGTTAACGTAGACGCCTCATGGACCACTCTTGCCTATTTTCATTGACTTGACATAAGGCGGCCATCTTGGAGCGGTTGCCCCCTCTCCTAGGTGCTATATGCTTGGCAGGCGCAGTGCAATATCACCGCATTTAATCAATCATATCTCGATAAGTACTAAACAAATTTTCACACTGTTTTGCTGAAAACATTATTAAAACGGCTATCATAGCTACATGTGATTGATACATGGTTCAGCATATTTGAATATTCTTAGTGAGGTTAACAGAATAGGAATGGAATATTTTGATTTCATGTATGATGATCATTTTACAAAACACATCCACTCATAATTTTATATTTATTTAGTAATATCAATACATATTTATATAAGTATACAAACACAAAATAATACAAATAAAATGTAGAGGAACACAGATTATTAAATAATGATTAATACTGAATGATATATATATATATATATATATATATATATATATATATATTAGGCTATGCATTTTTATAGACACAGATTTTTCTTTTGAAAACAGCTGGAAGCATCAGGGGTTCCTCTGAGCCTCATTTGTTCTCAAGTCTTCGTCTTCTGATTCAGTGTGTGACAACAGGGCAATCTAGACAGAAAAGATGAGAAATGGTTCAAATAGCCACACAGTGTTACTGATTAATGACAATTATTTTGAGGGCTTTTCTTTATTTTGTTGTGAATTTTATAAATTTTAAAGCCATTCACTGTTTATGGTAAATAAAAGTATATAAAATGCTTGAGGGTGGTAAATGTAGCAAAATCAGGAAAATAGCCCAAATGTGTGTGTAAAGTTAGGGGACACAAGGCAGAGCAGAGCAGATGTGCTCACAGTGCTGCATGGCTGCAAGAAGCTTCTCCATCCAGGAATAAGCACTGGAGTAGAAACAGGGTGGGTCTTGTTTATGGTGTACAAGAGCTGTTACCAAAGCTGAAAGTTCTAATAAAATGATTTTAGCACATATCCTTTGCTAATGATTAATTTTTTGATGTTTAATTTCATGTTTTAATGAATGCAGGGTCCAACGGAGGAAAAGTCAACCCAGTGGAAAGATCTAGAAGCTGCTCTGGCAGACAGAACAACTTCTGTGAATGTTGCCAAAACTGCTCTTGTCAAAGCCAAGTAAGACATGTACACACATTCAGAGCCTGCTGCAATGAATTCAACTTGTCTTTACACACAGTATTTTGTTTATACGTTTTGTAAACGGAAATATCTTAAAAATAATGTTTTTGCTGTCTTGGAGGCATGTTTATTTTGTCTTGAGTTCAGACAGTTGAGGTAAATCTTCACATTAATTTCTTTCCATTATTGCAGTGAAGCTCTGGACAGTCTAAAATCAGTGATTGACAAATCCAGAGGGTTGAAGATTACAGCTGCACGGCCGCTGATCTTAGCAGCAGAAGAGAATCTCCATAAAATGGTGGTAGACTTAGACAAAGTAGTCTCCAAGGTAAGGCCTGGTTGTAAGGGTTGCTCTGATCAGGTTTTTTCTGCCGATTCCAATACTGATCACGATTGGCTGTTAATTTTTCACTTTAGGTATAAATGCTACTATGTGATCTGGCAAAATAGAACCAAAGAATTGCCTAATTTAGACAAAAGTATGCAAAATTCTTGCAGGCACAATGCAGCAGGTATTCAGTCAAAAAGACAAATGTAAAACCTGTAATCAGTACAGTATTTAACAACAAGGCTCTCAACAGCTTAATTATGCATAATTAAGCTGTTGAGCTTTATAAATTGAGCTTTATAAAGTGAAATAAAACTCACATCACTGCCTATATCAAATAGTGTCGAGCAAAATATAAAACATTCATTCAAAGTCAAATGCGGGTTGCGCCAAAATAAACAACCCTAAATACTAAATCAAAACTGCCTGAGAGCATGGCTCGCTGTTTTCTGCTGGCTCTGGTTGGTTGTTTTTGATCAAGCAGCGTAATACTGCAGAATACAGGAAGAGGACAGATGAGCTCGATTTCCCCCCGGCCCCCTCACAAACAGCTCATCTGTGTCATGTTGAGACCACAAAAGTTTTCATACATGTGTAAAAACATCTTTTTTTAAATTGCGTGCTGCAGCTTTACGGAGACACTGGATGTGAAAGTTGACCGTCTGGTGGAGCACGAACTGTGCCACATCTGTGAAATGTTACGTCTCAGAACGTAGCGGTGGTTTAACAGCAAAAGCAATACCCAGCATGTTACACCCCCAGCCCAATGACTTGAGTTATTTTTCAGGTTATATGCTTAGCTTTCTGACCGTCGTACTCATCCAAGTGTGCACTGCTTTATATGCTGCCTGGCTGCTCCAGATGTCTTTTTTACCTTCAGTCAGCCTCAAAAACTCACTGTGCTTCTTCAAGTGCTTGTTTTTTTTAAATGTCATTAAATTAAAGCTTTGTGTTGATGTATTTTGGCGTGCTTCATCTATGAGGTATTTTTCCCTCACAAGAGGCAAACTTACCCATTCACTCTCACAGTAATGTCTTGTGGAGCGTTAAAGTTCCGCCTGCACAGTATGAAGAAAAGGGGAACAAATTATTAGCTTCCTACCTTCAGACTGATTTGTTTTAAAATGCACAACTATGTCAGTTCTGCTGATAAATGTCTGACAAGTTTTGTCTGTTCCAGTCAGATGTAATCTGTGAGGAGCAAGAGATGATGCTCACACACTGCTAGCTTTTCTCAGGGCATGGAACAGTTTCAGGGATAGAGCTTTCTCATGTTGGGAGGACTTGGTGACAACAAACTGTTTTCTTGTCCTGATCTTCCTATCTGACTATGATCACCTTGGAGCTGATCATTAGCTAACTTTGTTTTGTTCCACAAATTCCTGGATTTGGTTTTCAATTTTAAATGTTTAAAATAATTTTAACTGGGGACTCCATCATATTTTTCCTCTTCTCTATATGCTTACATGTTCTAATGTAAATCAGTGACAGTGTGCTGTACTTTAGGTTTTGTTTATATGTACATAGACTTCCTGAGATCTGCTCATGGTTCAACATCCAGAACACCCTTTAACCCTCACCCTGTCTCCTGGATTGTAGGTCCAATCAGCAGAGTCGGAAGCAAAGATTGTGGCCCAGTACACTGAACTGGTTAATGAAGCCAAGCAGCAGTTTCAGAGGGAAGTGAGTAGCCTAACTCCAGAGATCCAGGCCAACTGGAAAGGCCTTAGTAAGTACACACATTATACACATCAACCATTATTGTTCATGCAGGCTCCAGCAGGAGAGTTTAAATGTTTAGTGAATCCTAAGCTAGTTCCAGTTGTGTGTGTGTGTGTTGTGTGTAGCTGGTAAACTGTCAACAGATGACCTGAACGCTTTGATTGCCCACGCACATCGGCGCATTGACCAGCTGAATCGAGAACTGGCTGAGCAGCGAGTCCGAGGACAGATCCACATGGAAGCGGCGCTGGAGCAGCAGAGAGCCGAGGACCAGAAAGCTCTGGACAAAGCCGTCGGCACAGCAACGCAGCACGTTAAAGAGGAGGCCCGACTGGAGCAGGAGAGGAAGGTGCAGTGGATTGATGCCCGTCGGAGGCGGCAGGCATCCTGCATATCCATCCTGATGTGAGGCGTGTTGTGCTTGCAGCTGGCTGACCTGAGAGAAGTGATCGAGGCAGAGATGAGAACTCAGCTGCGGCGGCAGGCGGCCGCTCACACCGACCACGTCCGAGATGTCCTCAAAGTCCAGGAGCAGGAGCTGAGAGCTGAAGCCGAGCAGGTCTCTATCATTGTGCACACTTACCGTAGATGGACTAGTCCAGGGGTACCCAAAGTCGGTCCTCGAGGGCCGGCATCCTGCACCTTTTAGGTCTCTCCCTGGTAGTAGTAACAACCTGTTCAGCTTTTCAATCTTCCTCTTAGGCCGTCTAACGAGCCATGATTTGATCCAGGTGCGTTAAACCAGGGAGAGAACTAAAACATGCAAGATGCCAGCCCTCCAGGACCGACTTTGGGCACCCCTGGACTAGACTCTATTCCTTAAGAAGGTGGGGAGGGAGGGCTGTCTGTCTGTCTGTCTGTCTGTAGAGGTGTGCTCTGTCCCATCATGCAGAGTCCCTACAGCTGATTGGACAAAGGAGGATGCGCCATACTAGTAGCCAACCTGACCATCCTCTTGATGCACAGTAACTCAGTAAGAATGCCTTCAGTCAGAGGCTCTTTCAGATCTGCTGCAACACAGGCTACTACAGATCTTTCCTGCCAGCAGCTTTAGCAGTTTCTCATAATCTCTTATTCTTACAGCAAATGGTTTGGAATTTCCCCCCAAGAATAGTAAAGTATCATTGAATTAAATGAATTGTATACAGATCAGTTCAAATTCAATTCAAAAACACTTTATCGATCCCAAAGGGACATTAAATAAAAATTTGATTAAATAAACTAAGTTAAAAAATGAAGAACCTGTAAATATTGCTCATGTCCTCTTCTTTACAAACACATACCAGTTGTATGTGTATTGGTTTTACATTTTTTTTCACTTTTAGTTGCAACTCTGTCCATCTACTGTGAATAGTAGATGCAGTAGTTCTGTTTTGAAACATACATCACCTTACAATTGTATTCCAATTCCCTCAGCGGAAACCTGAAATCCACTGCAGATAATTATTTTTTCAAAATCCCTTGCTTGTAAACAGAGTTCCCATTAGACGTTTCTGAGCATGTAGGACATCTTGGAGGAAAACATGTCTGAGGCTGAAGGAGGCCTGACATCTTCCAGCAGCACAACAAGAAACACACAGACAGACATATTATGGGATGGTTTAGATTGATGCACATTCATGTGATGGAATGGTCTAATCAAAGTCCTAACCTAAATCTTTTTCAAAATTGACGTTTAGACTAGAACTTGAGCTATTTTGTAATCACATGGGCTAGCCCAGTGGGTCCCAAACTTTTTCTTCTGCGCCCCCCCTATGGATTACAAATGGCTGTCTGGTTGAAACGACGGGGGGGCATCGACTTTTTTGGGGGCAAAATGAATGTACGTAGCTGAAAATAGACACCAACATCGGTAGCCTACAAGGTACTTGTTAAGCTAAAGGTTCTGTATTGATATTAGCTAGTCATCTTTAGCTAAATTACCTGCATCCAACAGCTTTACTCAACTCAGTCGGTTAGTTTGGAGGGAAAAACTGTGAAAAGTTCTTTGCATTTTGCTGGTTTGCTGCCGTGATTCTAACGCAAACCTACGTAGCTCCGCACAGCAGCAGCAGGTCTCCTTCACAGGTGGGAACCCAGCGCGAGCGTTGTAGCGCTCATGTTGCGTTTAAAGGCGGCTCGGAGAAACAGGTTACAACATGTTAACAACGGATTAAACAGTTTTAACTGCTGATAAAAGTGACAGAGGACACAAATATGGGAAGTGTGGAAGCCTCTACTGTATCAAATTGACATAGGAATAACAGAGAGTTGGCCATTCTAAGGTAAAAACCCAGCGCATACAGTGTTCATGTTGTTGTTTTTTTTTCATCCAGACGGCTTCCCGCGCCCCCCCTGCAATGACACGGTGCCCCCCCCTAGGGGGCGCGCCCCACAGTTTGGGAACCTCTGGGCTAGCCTATGTCATTACATAGGTAGATTCTAAAAGCTTCTGGAGATCAAAATATCTATGGAAGGAAACCTTCAGCTTTCCTTGCATATAAAGCTGAGGGTCAGAGCCTCATTCAGGGTCAGAGAAGAGCCCTTTCATCCCCCGCGGTGCTGTCAGCACACAGAAGGCCAGGGGTAGGCATATTTTATATGGTAAAGAAAACACAAAGAGATTAAGAGAAGGCAACACGGGACCTCTAAATTTAGGGCTGTGGTTCATTACTTGTTGCTAAATGTTCATGTGTGGATTGTGGGTTATGCCTTAATTTTCTTGTACTGCTGCTGTCCACCAAATGGACAATGGTGAACTAATCAGAGCAGAGTTTGTGAGGGAAAAACTGGAGACTGTAGCCTTGGTTCTCTTTACTTCTTACTCTAACTGGCATCCCATCTGAAATCTGAGGAAGAAGTAAAGAGTTTCAGGAGAATCAAGAATAAGATAAACTTTTATTCGGTTTTCTGAGAGGAGACGGTGGAGGACTACTGGTACATTACAAATGTTGGACAACAGGTTGGACTGGAACTGCATGAAGGAAGAACTAGAAAAACTAGAGGTTATGGTTTTCTAGGGTTTGCTTACTGCTTGTCAGTCTGTATATTAGTTATTTTTAAATGTTGAATTCAAGCGTATCATTCCATTTTAAAATGTTTTATATTGCCTGTAATTGTAACAAAATATCTGTTTCTCACCTCTCTAGTGAGGTGACTGGACGTAGTAATGAGTGCTGTGCGTTTTCAGGAGCTGAGCAGTAAGCTGCTGGAGCAGGAAACCCGGTACCGTCAGCTCACTCAGGAACAGCTCGATGACTTCACTCTGGATATGAATGCTGCCTACGCAAGACTGAAGGGAGTGGAGGAGGCCATAGACAGTAAGATCAACACACGCGTCTCCTCAGAATCTTCCATTCCAGTCTAACACCAGGATAAACTAGAACTACAGTGGATGTCATCAGCATGCACATCCCAGGTTTCTGTTATGTTACAAAATGAGACCATGATAAATAATTTTCCTTGTCCTTTAGCTGACATTTTTTTTCTAAACTAATGAACTGAAAAACAAACAGATGTGCTTAGGGCAGTGCTTCTCAATTCCGGTCCTCACCACCCCCCTGCCCTGCATGTTTTAGGTGTTTCCCTTCTGCCACACACCTGGATTGAATCTGTGGGTGATTAACAGGCTTCTGCAGCACTTGATGGCCATGCAATCATTTGAATCAGCTGTTCTGGAATAGAGGCTCATCTAAAACATGCAGAGCAGGGGGGCGGTGAGGACAGGAATTGAGAAGCATTGGGTTAGGGTAAATGTTTAATGAAGCCATTCAGTCTGTCAGCATGCTAGGTTTCGACTTTCCCACCTTACTGGGCAAAGGTTCTTCATATCTGTCACATTATCTCCCAGATTTTCAAATATCTGACTCAGCAAATTTCAAGTTACTATATCTGCCAATAAATCTGCTTTTGGCTGATTCAGAGGTCTCTTTCTTTGATTCAGAGGTCTCCAGCAGCATTTGGGTCAAGACTGATGGGAAATATTCAGAATTTCATTCTCCTTGACAAAGAAACCCCAAAACCTTTTTTGATGTCTTATGTTGTTTCTTTTTGCAAAGTTTAATCCCCAAGCTAAATGCTAAGATTTGATCAGTTTAAGGTGTACAAACCTAAGCAAAATCAGTCTGTGTGTAAACTTTGAGATCTTCTGTCTGGCACTTTAGGGTTACCTACATGCTCTCTACAGAGGAGGATCATGTGATAATTCTTTATCCATTTACCAAATGAAAAATTAGTTCAAAAGCAAAATCACTTCAACATTCCACTAACTCACACTAAGCCAACCTGCAGGGACCCTCAACAGGATCGAAACTAGGACTGAGCTAGGTCTGTTTTTCTCCAAATATTTCTGAAATCAGAAATGTTTGACAGTTGCAATGAAGTTCCTGCAAATCTGGTCAGGTTTTGCAGCTGAATAGCTTTATTGCAGGTTAAAGCTATTCAACTCCAACATGAATAGCAAAATATGGTCAATTCGAGAATTGTGGGACACCAAGTAATGTATCTTGCTACAAGAGTGTCACCATTGTTTTAAACAAGTGTTTAAAACAAGTGTTTTAAACTTGTTTTTCTTCAGTAATATTTGTACTGTATAGAAACAATTCTCTGAGAGGAAGGTCACTGGATTGGACATGAAATTAAATTATCGAATGTTTGTGTGAAGACAATGGGGGACATTGACCCTGCAGCCTGAAAATATCATCCCAAACAGTAAATTCCTGAATGCTAGCTCTCCAGCTAGCAACATGCTAGCTGGAGAGCTCTAACAGAAGTATTCCTGAAGAATACTTGATTCCTGAACTATTCTTCAGGATGGAAAGTGAATATTGAGTGTTTCTGCCTGCAGGCCATGTGGAAGCAGAGGAGGAGGCCCGGAAAGCTCATCGGCTGTGGCTGTCTGTGGAAGCGCTTACCTACACCTTAAAAACAGCCAGCGCTGAGTCTCCCAGCATGCCCCTGGAGGACGCTGCGGAGGCTGTGCGTGCTAGCTGCGTTGACAGTGATTTTGCCCTGGCTCTGACGTCAGCTTTGCCTGAAGAATCCCTGAAGCGCGGTGTGTACAGCGAGGCTTCCCTTCGTGCTCGTTTCAACTCTCTGCGATCGCTCGCTCGCAGAGTTGCTCTCATCGATGAATCCCACAACACCCTGTACCAGTACTTTTTATCGTATGTCCAAGCTGCACTGCTTTTTGAGAAGCAACAGGAAGTCCCGCCCACCCAGCTACGCAGCGAGGATTTGGATCCCTTCAAGCTGCTCTCATATGCCAGCTACTGCCTAGAGCACGGGGATCTGGAGCTGGCAGCCAAACTGGTGAACCAGCTGCGAGGGGAGGCCAGGAGAGTGGTGGAGGACTGGCTGACTGAAGCCAGACTCACACTGGAAACCAGGCAGGTCATCAGTTTGCTTTCAGCCTATGCCAATGCAGTGGGTTTAGGCACCACCCAGGCTCCATAGCTGCCTCGTTGACCAGGCAACCCAAAGGTAGCATGTATGTTGGTAGAGGAAGCCAGCTGGAATGTGGTTGGATCTACAACAGCAAAGGAAAGCGCGATATTGTTGCAGTGAACCATCTATTAACGTTAACCCACAGATTAGTTTCAAATCACTAAGATAAGATGTAGTCTCAGTTTAGGTCTCAGCTTTATTTTCTTTACCTTATTTGGCAACATGCCATGGTCATCTTAATAAATAAGTTATGCTGCACTGTTGTGAATATTGCACATTAAATAAATCATTAAGAAGGAATGCTGTCTATTTACTGCTTTTGTCCTCTGTGGAGTTTTAGTTTAGTCCTTCCAGGTTTCACTTCCTGCTGGTCCTCTGGTCTCCTTCCAGCCCAGTAACCTGCACTGGCAGGAGACACTCATCTCTCTCAACTGAGACTCTGATCTCTGAGACTGTGTGGTGTTTCTGTGAAGGACTGATGAACTGTCCTCACCGTTTACCACCTCAAGTCTACATGTAAACAGATGAGTATGATCATTCAACAAGAGAACAGCTGTTTTCAGATGTCAAACATTTGAAGTTGTTAGACTTCAAATTCCTCTGTTGAAAATCAAGTGTTGGTGAAATGTTATTAATAAGACTTAAATGTTGATAACGACCTGGAGCCCTGCTTGGTGCAAAGGGTGCTCTGACCCTCACAGCCATCTAAAACATTAGCATGTCACAGTTAAACAGTTTTTATAAGAAAATGTTTACATACAAATGGATGTCTATCAATCAATCAAATTTTATTTGTATAGCACATTTCAGCAGCAAGGCATTTCAAAGTGCTTCACATAATTAAAATAAAAACAGCATGTGACATTGAATAAACAGTAAGAAAGAGAAAGAGATTTTGAATAAAAAAGATAACATTAAAACCCACACCCCTTTTCAACCAGGGGGGATGACACCTGCACCCCTGTCCTTATCTGGGACTTAAACCCAATCTGGGACTTTAGTCAAAAATGCCGTTTGACAAAGACTCCAACCTCTAGGTTTTTAGTTGAAACACCGTCAACTGGGACTCTAAATCCCGTAGGACTTTAGTTAAATGTTGTTTAACTGGGACTCTAACACATGTTTTACTCAAGGGACTCTAACCCTAATTTAGCCATAAGCAACTCTAAACAGGTGGGTTTTAAGTTGAGATTTAAAGGCACCCAGTATTTCAGCTGTTTTACAGTTTTCTGGAAGTTTGTTCTAAATATGTGGCGTATAGAAACTGAATGCTGCTGCTTCTCCTCTAATTTTATTTATCTCTGGAACTGTGATTTGATTACACTTAAACCATAAAGTGAGACTTTGGAGGGGTTTCATGTAGTGTGAAGTCACCCCACAGCATCTGGCTGTGATCCCAGTCAGGGCTGACTGGGCTTGTTTTTTTTAAAGTTTAATGAGTTGCGTGTTTTTGGGCTTGTTCTTGAACGTGAAGTTGCTCATTTGAGATTGGAAATAAGCAGAGACACAACCAGATGGTTTTAGTCAGGCTCTCCCTGTCTATCATTTCCTGGATGATCACCTGGATGATTTTGGACTGTGGGAGGAAGACGGGGCACCCGGAGAGAACCCACCCACCATACACGGAACATGCTAACTCCATACAGAAAGACCCCAGGCCGGGAATCGAACCCAGGACCTTCTTGCTACCACCAACTGCGCCACTGCCGTCAGTTCACCAGTTGAAGCACAAATCAAACCTTAAAGTTCAACAGTTTGTAAACTGGAATGGAGACTAATATGGACAGCGCAATAAAAGTGAAAACAGCCACGAATGAACCTGTCCGTACGACTTGAAGATCAGCGAGAAGAAAAGTATTTACGTAACCCAGCCAGCATACCTAGGTGGGTCCCATATGGGGAAAAGGAGGGCAGACAATATGGGTCCCACATGGGTTTGTCCCCAGGTTCCATGGTGGGTTTGCCTATGTAGGGTCTCCGCCTACATGGGCGCTACATGACGGTGGCCCTACATGGGCAAACCCACCATGGAAACTGGGGACAAACCCATGTGGGACCCATATTGTCTGCCCTCCTTTTACTGATACAGCTGGGATTGTAAACTTCACAATTGACAGAGAAAATGTTTTTAATATTTCTGCCACCTCTTCACTATTATAATTTGTGACCAGTGTGATTTTGTTTATAAATATTAATATGAATACACCCAAATAATAATGAAGAAGTGGTAGAACTCTGAAAAGTTTTAAACTCTAACATAATTTACAGGCCTGTACAGTAAAGTCACAAATTATTCGGGCCATCATGATCTGTGGCCAGGCTATTTGAGGGTTAAATATTATTTTAAATGAGATATGACTTTAATGAAGTGGTGACAGAAACATTAAAAACCGTGTTAAAACACCGCCAGAGTACTTAGAATAATTTCTTAATCATTTAGCGATTTATTAAACGGCCACAGTTGGTTTACATATTTTAACGACAGCACATAGGCATTCAGTGCGATGGTCCGTCAAGCAGTTTTCAGAAGCAAATACAAAGTAATACATTATATTTTCTCCGTCAATGCGATGGTAATAAGGGGGAGCTGTGAATCTATGCTGTGAATGACCATATTTGACTATTTCCGCTCCAGAGCACACGTGTTTCCGCTTGGCAACAGCGCTCCTTCCGCCTACCGACAGATCTGTTGATGCTCTTTACCCCAAAGGATTTTCGTTTACCCTGCTCCCCCCCTCCCCCCCCCTCCGATTTCAGACTTGAAATTGAACGTAGCATGAACACGGGATTAAAAAGCGCCCCTGTTCTGTGCAGATTGTGTTGACAGACAGGCGCAGATCAGGACAATGCTGCGTCTGTTCGGAACATTTCTGTCGAACTTTAAACGCCTTAGAAGATCTGAGGCTAAAGGCTAGCTGGAATAAGCTGTCCCCGTCCAAGACGCACCGTTGCTGGGAGAAGTAACGAGATGTTGGTAAAAAGTAAAGTTCTGTCATTATTGATATTCTTTAACTAAACTGTTGAACTTTAAGGTTTGATTTGTGCTTCAAGTAACCGCTGGCTACTGAATGCATGAAAACAGCCCTCATGCAGGTTGGTTTCATGCACTCACTGCTTTAAATCCAGCCAAAGTTGTTCACCATCACCTGGATACGAACAGGAAGAGCTGCACCATCCAGACATGATACCAAATCAGAACATGATAGCAAAATGTGCCCTAATAATGCTTGTCATGAAGTATTCAGGAAGTGTGTTTGATCTGGAGAAACCACTTGCAGTATTAGCTGTGTTTATCTGTTGAAAGTGTTGTTGTTTGATTTGTTTGCAGATGGCTGCTAGTTTCTTTGTTTTGCTAATAATTGTCTTCTGCGTGGGGTTTGCACAGAAACACAGTACAAGAAAGGTTCCAGTTGGCTTTAGAAGACAGGCTTTGGAGAAATGTTTAAGAGCTCAATACTAGTTGAAAACTTACAGTTTAAAACTCATTTTTACAGTATTTGATTATATTGGATATTTTAAATTGGGTTAGGGTTTTATTCAGCTTTTTCTTTCAGATTGGGAACCTTTAATGTTCTGTTAGGAAAAGGGGCAGGTTAGCTCTCACCTAATGATTTAATGATAATTTTCATCTCCAATCAATGGAATTTGCCAAAACATGTTGTTAGATAATGGCAACAGAGTTATATCAGAGTCACCAGGTCTCCATGGTAATAATTAGACTAGCTAGATGCTAACCAGTTGGTAACCATTACAGAATGCAGTAGTTGTACTAGAACTGTGTAGTTTGATTGGATGAGACTCAAGTCCCTTTCAGATAATGGTTCCAGAGTAAATATTCACCTCCAGAAGGCCGTTTAGTTTGGTTTGGCCTTTCACATCATAGGTCACCTGTGTGTTCTGCATACTTTCACAGCATGCAGCTGGAATTGTGGAATCAAAGGGACACATCTTGCAGGTTGCAACATTCATTGATAATCTTGAGTAAAATAGCCATAAAGCAAATCTTCACTGAACTCAGGTCGGTGATTGATATGATATGATATGCTGCCACTATGTTTGCGCCTGCAGACTCTGCTGTTGCTGCAGTTTTCACTTTAGTGTGACATAGTGAAATGACACATTGTACAATCCCATACAACTGTTGACAGGTTACAGGTCTGGAACTTACCGAGAAGCATAAGAGGTGTAGTATTGGTGTCATCAGCTTCTATTGTTTTCTAATCCAGATTACCACTCTAGACCACAGATTTGTCTTTCTAACAAAATTAGTACACAACACCATCCATTCTCAGAAACAGAGCTAACACTGACCCATGGAAAAACTAAATTCCATTCATTTCATATGTTTCTTTTTTTTTGTTTATCTTGGAGAGGAAAATTCCTTCATGCACTGTGACGGACGATCAGAGCACGATCGGTTCAACACAAAGGGTATAAACACTTTTTTTGGAGGAATAATGTCTGTGTCCAGAAACATTTATTTTGTGCAAATGCTGTTAATCTGAATCTTTAGCTGAGGTACATGAACTGCCAGTGACATATAGTAGACACGAGCTGGAGTGAGCAGCTCTTGGTATGATGGTCTTGAGTAAAAATATTCTGGTTTCATGATGTGGAATTTAAAACAGAATATAATCAAATTCCTTTTATTTCAGTCACAAAGCAGCATTTGTCTGTATTGCTGCTAAAATGAAGTTATTTTATCTATAACAATTATATATGGGTATTTTTATACACAGACTGAAGCAAAAATTACAAAGTAAACCTGCAAACATTCATGCTGGTTTTCATGAACTAATTGTTATCCTTGTTTGTTGTTCAGCTTTCGGTAGTGTAATCTTTTATAGCAGGAACAGTCTCAGGCACTCACCTAGTTTCCAAGTTGCAGTTGCATGGTTGCAGTGTCTTACAACCACAGATCCTGGTGTGAGGCAAAGAATGGTGGTCATAAATTCTATTTAACTTAATGGTTGCAGGTGGCATAAAATCATAAGGACCCAGGGTTAAGTACAAGTTAGAGACTCTAATATGAATAATTTCTAAATACTTTGATAGGGTTGTCTTTGGTGTTTCGGGTTTTTGTTCCTTTCTGATAATTTTTTTTCTATCTGTTCAGGTCACTGGTCATGTCACGGTCCCTGCAGCGAGCTGAGATTCTGTTCAGAAGTACTTTTAATCCCAGTTTGAAGTGTCTGTTCCATGTTCCGAGTCAAGATGAAGAGGAGGAAAACCTTGTTGTGGCTCACAACCTTGTGTCGCGCTCCTCTGCACGTCTGCAGCGAATGCAGCAGCATCTTCTGACAGTGGTGTTGCAGGGCCCACCGGTGGAAGGGGGCCACATGGGATCCCTACCAGTGAGTTCAAGGAAATATCTGTCACTTTCTGTTTTAACTATGACTGAGTCACATTGAAAGTAGGGTGGGCTGTTCCATTTGAAGGTGGTCTTTTTGTCCTGTCTTCCTCTCTCCTCTAGGGGCAGTACAGAGCTCTGTGGAGGCTCTTTGAGCAGCGATCTCTGCTGCTCTTCATACATGAATACATCAGAAGGCTTCATCTGTCAACAGCTTTCATATCCAGACTGAAACACTTGTTGCAGCATCAGCTCAGAGAACTTCACTTAATGCAAACTAAGGTCACAGGAAAACAGAACCCTTAAAAACACTCTTCTCTTTTAGCTGTGGGTGGAGGGATGGAGGGATGGGTTGTTTGCTCTGTTGGAATTATATTTTTTTTTTTTTACAATAAGACAGTTCTCTCTTTTACTGTTTTCTTTCTCTGTTTTCTGAGTGAGGCAAAATGGTCTCAGTCTGAGAGTACTCAAAGACTTGCATTTTAAAAGTTAGTGGTAACTGACAGAAATTGGCAGCATTGGTGATTACTGATTTAAATCTATTTTAAGACATTTTCTTTGTTCTTTTGATGAACTTTATATCATGATTTCATTGGGAAAAAGAAATATTTTATGATACCTTGCCAGATTGCCCACTCCCACTGCACTATAGCAACTGATTTTACAACCTGATGAAGTGCATCCTTGTCCACTGATCAGTATGACTGTAAAGGGAAGTAGAAGTATCAGGTCTGCCAGAGCTGGACAGACTCTGTAGGCTGCATCTTATAGGATTTCATTTAGCTATGGATGTTGTTAAAGCTGCTTTACATGAAAGTATTCACAAGTGCAAATTACTGTTCTGTTGTTTTTTAAAAGAAAGATATGGAAGTAAAAAAATATTAGTAGTAGACTATGTGTGCATTTCCTGACCTTTGTGGGGACGTATGACTAACAAACCTTTAGTGTGTCAGAAGCTACTCTCAACCGTTGTCGCTTTCTTTTCAGGTCCTGCCCGGCTCACCTTCATCCAGAATCAGCCTCGTCTCTCTAAGTCAGGAGTTCCGACTTCATCTGAACCACAGGAGTTTCTTCACCAGCCGAGTCCATTCTGACCACTATCTGAGACAGGCACTAGTTTCACACACCAAAATGCTGGAGGAGATGAAACGGACTCTAAGCCTACTTGGTCTACAACTTTTGTTCCTAATGGAGCAATGTGTATATGGTATTCTGTCTGTGATTGGGAAGACAGAATTGGACTTGGTACCCAGAGATGTTCTGGAGGACATTTTATCAGGAACAGACCTGTACAGTCAGGCTGTGGAGGAGCATAAAGTCCAGCTGAGGATGTTGGTTTTGCAGGAGGCACATAAATTCAAATTCTTTAGCAGACTTCCAAAGATTATAAGACATCGTGCTTCTGCTGTGTCAGTCAGAGGTCTGATGAGTGTCTTGGCTGTTCATCGGGCAGAAATGATTGCCAGACTACTGGACCTCTGGATTTCTGAGGAGAGCTGTCATGTTTGCAAGGTTCATTGCACTCACCAAACATTCTGTGATAACTTCAGGAGTCCAGAGTCTGAATGCAGCTGTAGCTTTCCCAAGTGGACCTGGGAACAGCTGTGGCAGACATATCTGACTTCCTCTCCTCTTCTCGACAGTATTCAGCCTTCTGTGCAGATGTTGTCACATCAAACATCTGATAAATGCTCCCCTATTTACAGCCCTAATCGCTCCTTGCAGAGTTCTGCTTTAGAAATTCAACTCCCCGTTTTGGTGAAACTGTCTTCTTTCCAAAATAAAGAAGAAAGCTCAAGAAAAACCAGAACCAGCCAGAGCCAAACATGCATAACTCAGTCTGGACTCACTCAGTTCAGTGCAGAGGCAGCTCAGTCTAACCTGGAAGGTTTAGAAAACTGTGACTGTCCTTCACCCTCTGTAGCCACCTCCCATCATGCCTCAGCCCTGCCTCCTCCTCAGCTGAACCAGTCCTCTGTCGATCCACTGCTTCAGGTCCTCATGACCTCCACTGACCTGCTGGCTCCACTGGCACTTCAAAGGCCAACATCAGAAGAAGCAGCTGCTCAGCTCGTCTCGGTCTCAGCTCCAGATGTGGTCACTAGGAAGGCTGGATCAGTCGGTGTAACTGCAGCAGCTCAGCTGGAGATGTTCAGCCAGCAGAGCGTCGTTGGGACCAACACACAGGACTGGACCCGGGTCAAAACCGCATCGGGAGCAGATGCTCCAGAAAGGTAGGGGCAGCACGAGCAGGAAAATGATTGCTGCTTGGTGCCATTGTTTGGCTGTTTTAGAAAGCAGTCACACTTTTCCTTTTTTGTGGACTTTAGTCATTTTCCACTGGCAATGACTAAAGTTAATGACTGAAAGGCGCCTGATCCTGTGGTCATCCGTTCTGCACTGCAGGCTAGTTTACATCAGCATTCGGGTCATGATATTTTTCCTCGACTTCTCACGGGTTAATGATGAAGAGACTGTTTATGCTTTTCAGTTCTGGTGATCTGAAGGATGAGGACATGAGGAGAAGAGGCAGAGATGGAACAAGGTTAAGCACTGTGGAGCCAGAGTGTGTTGGTGGGCCTCATTCTGTGCAGTGGATGGACATGGGTCGATCAGTTCTCCTTGCCGATCTGCTCCAACACTATCAGTCTCAGCTGTTGGTCTTCTGCTCTAATGCTCTGCGGCTTAAACTCCACACAGCAGCAGCAGGAAACGCTGCAGGCAGCATCAACCTTCAAGATGATCGCAGGAGCTTCCAGACCCTGCACAGTGTTACTCATGCTTTAGAGACAGGTAACCTACACATTTCCTCTCAGCCCACTGTGTTGCACACACACACACTGCTGTGTATTTTTGGCGTTTTAAGAAGCCTGCACTACTGTCCTCTTATGATATTGGTCAGAGTATCTGTTTCTGCAAAATGCAGGTCATCTCAGGCTAGTTTTCTGAATAGATGATGTGCCATGTGGTGTTAAAGACATTCAAACGTCTTCCCCCAAGCTTGTCATATGAGAGATCAAGTCAGGTCGGCAAGTTAAAATTAACCAAACTTTAATAAAATGCAAAAGATTTCAGAGATCAGACAGAAAAATGCACCCAAAGACTCAGTTAGATCTGGTATCCATTCTGCCCACAGCCTTAAATATGTAAGCCACACCTTAAGCTGCACAACAAACGCTTCTGGAATATTGCATCACTGTCTGCTCACATAACCAATGATTTGTGTTACTTTCAACAGTGCCAGTTTATCAGTCCTACTTCCTAATAAGGAATTGTTGTTTCCGAGATTTTGTAGCTCCAGGTGCAGGCCCAGCCTGGTTGGATCTACCTGACCAGGACAGGAATGGGCGCATAATATTCCACAAGCACAACAGCCGTGCCATGATATTATTATTAGGGCTGTAGTGATACAGTAATCTTATGATATGATACGATACACGATATTCTGTCCAAGATATGATATATATTGCGATATTCATCAAACGATACAATTCAATACACTTTTGCTATTTTCTGAAAGATTTTAGAGGGACAGAGTGATTTTGGTGATATTTTGTGACTGTTATAGAGTTGGATTGAATTAATTTAACTGAAAACTGATTAAAAGCACTAACTACACAATACCTGGCTCTGGTTGGACATGGACACAGACTTAAAGTCGACAGCTGGACAAAAAGAATCAAAGAAGTGGTGAGAAAACATGTTTCTTTTAATTGAAACAGTACAAACTGTAGCTTACATGCATTTGTAAAGTAAATAAAGTGCACCAAGCACCCTGCTCTGAATAGTTTGATACCTTTTTAACCTTGACACTTAACATCTGAAGGAATCACTCTAAGCCTGATGATCTAATCACTCTCCCGGCGAAGCGAGCAGTGAGTGAGCAAGATGACAGTTGGATGTTACGATACTTGCGGATGAATATCGATTTTTTTCTAGGAAAGAAAATATCGATATATATCGTGATATCGATATTATCCTACAGCCCTAATTATTATAGCAGATCACTCAGTTAATTAATATAAGCTTGAATACCTGCTGATAAAGGAGCCAATCTAGAAATCTGTAAGAACGAAGAAAACAGTCACATTTCAGCCACGTAAACATGCTAGTGGAACTGTCTGGTTGGACTAGGCCAGAATGGATCTGATGGATCTGTAGATACTTGCAGAACTAGTTCACTGAAAATTTGTTGTTAGTCAGAATTCTGAAATTACGTAATACATTTTAGAAGTAAAAAAATAAAGAAACTAATGGGAAATGTAGCTAAATAACATTTCTTAAACAGATGATTTGAGGTTCTGATTTTGGAAGAGGGAAGTTCTCATGTCGCCCTCCTTTCTGAAGCCATTTGGTATCTGACAAATTTGTCATAAAAGTAATACTGATTAAACTGTAGCTTTAATAAAATAAAGCTACATAATTTTTAAAGTGTAATCGGTAATACTTTTATAACAGATTTATGTCAGATCATGAGTTCTTGGTTAATGTCAAGTTGTCATAACAAAGACATTTTGAATAATGTCAACTTTGTACTAAAAGTGTCATAATTTACCGAATGATGCTTTATGACAACAGTCATAAATCTTGATGAAGACTTCTTCATGTTCATGACAGGTGTTATGTCAGTCTTATTCACACCCCGCCAAATAAAGTTTTACCCACTTTTCTCACTGAATTCCTTGACGACTTTAGAGAATCAAGTCACATGCACTCAGAAATATGTTGGTTAAACTGCTGCTGGAAGATCAAGTCTGCAGTAGAGTTTATATTGTCTGTTAGGATTTCAGGCTTGTGTTCTGTTCTGTTCCTGTGAACAGTGAGTATTTACAAAATAGGATTTATTTTGTTCTGTGTGTTTTAGGTCTGTTTCCAAAGGCATTCCGAACCATACTGGAGCACTTCAGGCTGTATTTGTTTGTCCAGTCAGCACACGCCCACTGGGACTCTGGTTAGTGCTGCACTCACAATCTAATGGTCCCAACCAGTCAGTTAGCACGTCTCAAACATCAACTGCAAAGTGCTTTACTTGAATCAATGTACAGGGAAGAAACAACAAACTTCCTTCACCTCAGACGCTCATAAAGAAGGATAGATATTGCATTCACTATCTATCTAGTGAATGCAATATCTATCCTTCTTTATGAGCGTCTGAGGTGAAGGAAGTCCATATCACTATGGCAACTAATGAAGCAGGCCTTACTGGCAATTCTACAAAAACTATATTTGTGTTTTTGCTGTTAAACATATTATAAACTAAACAGTAAAATTGATACCAATTAGATGGTTAATGAAAAGTTGAGATCAGGTGAGAATAAATGGAAAAAATAATTTTTGGAGACCTCTTAGAAATAAACAGCAGTTAAAAACAGGCACAGCATAAAACCCCAAAAGATTCAATAAAAATATTAATTTATGTTAAAAAATTAAGAATAAAGTTTTGCTAAAAGGAAATGTCTTGAGTCTGCCTTTAAAACTTTGAATGCTGCCAGCTGCCTTCAGCCTTATCTGAGGAGTTTGACGAAGCAGCCAAACACCTGAAGTTTGACCACTTAAAGCATTAACAAAACACTGACACTTTTTTAAATTCAGGCCTTAAAGTAGGAAGCCACTAAAGAGACCTATAAATCACAATGTCAGCTGTCTCTCTGGTCAAAAAGCATGCTGCTGATTTTTTCATTATTTGCTGTGATAAAATGTATTTTATCATGTAATACAAGACTGTTATGATGATCTGTTTTGCTATTAATAATACATGGATCAGAGTTCTTGCATTGACTTGGGAGATAAAGGGTATAATTTTGGCAATGTGTGTTTAATGTCTTACTGTCTGAATTTATATACAGCTACATAAAAAATATATATGCTGTCAAACATTCTAAATCAAAAAAAGACTGGTACCTTGAATTTAGCACATACAACAGATATATACCTAGCCTGGGTATTTGCAATAACTCTAGATGGCAGCAAAGTGATTCCATATTGACCCTTGGTATGTGTTGAATTTGCCTCACCAGGCATTAGTGGTAAATAGACACATGATTGGCTTTAAGAGGTCTCTCTTGTAAATGAGACATTGATGTGCCTTATGACTGTAGACCAGCAGTTGTGTTTTGTCCTAGCTGAGCTGTAATATCAAAATGTGCGTCTTCTGTATTAGTGTTTAAATGCATGTTATGTATCGGTGTTATCTTGTCAGGCTGAGGGGTCCCAGGAGAGAATCTCCCTCATCTTGTAAAGTCTTAGAATACTGCTGGATCATTTCACTCACAATAAATCTCATCAAATACATTAGAAAGCTTTCACAGCATTACAGCTATTGTCCTCAGGTGTTTTGGACCTGTAGAAAATCTGCAGCAGACCTGCCTGTCAGAGACTTTCAAACCTCACCACTTGTAGAAAAAGTCAGATTTTCTTTGGGGGTTGAGTCCTTGTACTGAGGTGAGGTTAAACCAAACACTTTGCTGTTTGATGAACCTGATGTAAGCTGCCATGTTGATAGATGCATGTGAGTCCTGCTATGATGATGTGCTACATTTGTGTGTGTGTGTGTGTGTGTGTGTGTGTGTGTGTGTGTGTGTGTGTGTGTCTCATCAGTGGCATGCAGAGGTTTGGGTTCAGCCCTGAAGGATAAATGTGTCAGAAATGAGAGCAGCAGCTCTGCAGCAGCAACTTCAAACGAAGAGGGAAGTGTCCTGATATCACAGACAATGGCACACTTCCTCCAGCTCCTCCCTCCACTGCTGTCGTCTCTGTGTTGTTGCCAGTCAAACAGCTCAATGTGTGGTAAGACAATCAAGAAGGAAAAAGGTTGCTCCCCTGCATGTTCACAAACGTTATTCTTTTATTAGCAGAATTTCTTTCATGTTTTAGCTTTTAAAGGGGCCATGTTACGTAAAACTGACTTTTTTGATCTTTACACCATGCTATAATTTATTCCCTCATCAAAAACATACCTGAGAGTTGCTTTGACTCTTTCATGCATGTTTGAGAAATCCTTGAATCTCCTTTGGCAACCATCTAGGTTTAGAAATACTTGCTCTCACTGAGCACCAGCTTGAAGCTTCCCTTCAGAGCTGCAGTATCCAGCAGAGCTTCCGCCTCACAGAGCAATCCTTCTCCACCACTCCCCAACTCACCTCCTTCAGACTAGCTGCAGCAGCAATTAAACACCCGGTGGAACTGTGCATCTGCTTAGCTCATTATAAGAAGTACTTTTCAGTGAAATGCTACAAAAAACAATGTTAGAGCATAGGAGCATCATAGGACCATTACTGTGATGTCTTCCTAAAGGTGGCGTGTGGGAAAGAGCACGAGCTTCTTAAAGAAACAGAGGCCCAATTTCAAGGCATTAATTTGTGAAGTCAAATTTCTTTTAAGTTTTTATTTCGCACGCACAGCACAGCACCAGGATCTGACATGATCCATTCCTACTGGCTGAAGAAACTCACTGCCCTCCATGAGCAACTGGCAGCTCAACTGAACCAGCTGCTACAAAATGGGACTCACCCTGAATGGTTAACTGAAGGGCGCACAATCCTGATCCAGAAGGATCCCTCAAAGGGTTCAGTCCCATCCAACTATCGGCCAATAACCTGTCTCTCTACAACATGGAAGCTCATGTCAGGCATCATAGCGGCTAAGATAAGCGGACACATGGATAAATACATGAGCACGGCACAGAAGGGCATCGGCATAAATAGCAGAGGAGCCAAACACCAACTCCTTGTAGACCACACAGTCGCCCGAGACTGCAAAACCCGACACACCAACCTGTGCACCGCTTGGATTGATTACAAGAAAGCCTATGACTCAATGCCACACACTTGGATCATTGAATGCTTAGAGATGTACAACATCAACAGGACTCTAAGAGCCTTCATTGCAAACTCGATGGGGCTGTGGAAAACCACCCTTAAAGCCAACTGCAAACCACTTGCACAAGTGTCCATCAAATGTGGCATATACCAAGGAGATGCTCTGTCCCCACTGCTGTTCTGCATAGGCCTGAACCCCCTCAGCCAAATCATCAACAAGACTGGCTACGGATACCGACTCAAGAATGGGGCCACAATCAGTCACCTCCTCTACATGGATGACGAGTCCTGTACGTAACTGTCCTCTATGTCTGCTCTGTACGCCAAGAGTGAGCGAGACATCGACTCACTGATCCACACCACCAGGATCTACAGCACTGACATTGGGATGTCATTCGGACTAGAGAAGTGTGGTCGGATGGTTACAAAGAGAGGGAAGGTCGTCCACACAGAAGGGGT